ATACATGATGATGATACATGATGATGCTACATGATGATGATGCTACATGATTATAATGATACCTAATACATGTTTCCTTTCTGTTCTAGTGATGATGGGATCATTGTTAGCAGGTACCTCAGAAGCACCAGGAGAATACTTCTTTTCGGATGGTGTAAGACTGAAAAAATACAGAGGTACAGACAATATGACGCATGAATATAAAACGATACCGTTCTATCAAATATTCTATCAGTTTATTTTCATCATTTACTCTTGTTTCTCATGTTAGGTATGGGGTCACTCAGTGCAATGGAAAGTAACACAAATTCTGCTTCTAGATATTTCAGGTTAGTTTGAATACTGTAGTGTTTTGATTATCAAGTGCTGTAATGATAATAAGGAAAGCAAGGGTGGTGTGCTTTGAGGGTTCTTTTTTTCAAGTTCTCCAGTTTTCGTTCCTCAACTTCTAAATTGCAATTGGAGTTTTGGTGGACAAGAGGCTACTCTGTGGAAATGACGCTGCTAAATACTGTTCTTCTTCATTATTTATTTCTATAATAAATGAGAGAGTTGCGGTATGACATGAATCACCTGTACTTACCCCTCACATCATTACAATTTTTTTCTAGTGAGTTTGATAGAATCAAAGTAGCCCAGGGCGTGTCTGGTTCTGTCGTTGACAAAGGATCCATACACAAATTCATGCCATATCTTATCGCCGGCATTCAACATGGCTGCCAGGACTTGGGTGCTAAGAGCTTAACATCTTTAAGGTAAGAAATAGATATCTATGACTTTTCCTTTATGTGATTAATCGAAATACATTACTAAATAAATCCGTTTATGTGAACTAAGGCTCATTATTTTCCCATTTTGAAACCTCATCTATGATTTCCTAGAAGTGTCATCCATATTTATGTATCTCAAGTGTTACTCAAAAGACTGACACACAGATTAAGACTGTCAGTAAGGCCTAGGGCAAACGTTAAACTTTCCATGCACCGAACTCATTAAAAACAATGGATATCAGGTGATAATGAGGCGGCATTCTTTGATGTAATTAAGTTCGATGCATGGAAAGTTCAACGTTTGCCCTAGGCCTTACTAGTTGGGACTGGGTTGTTGTGCTGAATACAACAAATGAATAAGAAAGAAACTTCATTTTACTTGTTTAAAGTTTGTAACTGTGCTGATGATTCTGAACATCAGTCAGGACTTTCAGATTGCGTAGTTCCAGAAATTATTCATACCCCAAGGGGGGGTCAGAGAAAGAACAAAATTACAGAGTTTGTATGGAAGGAAATAATAATTGGAATTTCTCGGGGTAGAGGGGGATGGGGACCCTAAAAAAATTCCTCTGGGGGGAGGGGGGTATGGATAATTTCTGGAACTACAAATTAAAAAGGATTGCATTGGATCTATTTAGAAAAAGATAGCGAACTTGTATATTAAAYCTTAATTTAAAATTCAAATATAAATTTTAATTTTAATCTGCAATACTCTTTGGACTAAAATTCCAGATCAATGATGTATTCTGGTGAACTGAAATTTGAAAGACGATCTGCTTCATCTCAAATAGAAGGAGGAGTGCATGGATTGCATTCGTAAGTACAGTCTCATCCTGTCAGGGCTAATATTGGCTGCTCATTGGCTGAGCATGATGACTTGCCACATTGGACTGATCAACTTACTAGCGACCAGCAATCCATTCCCATTTCATGTTTTTTTTAAATTTTCAATTCATTATCTCGTCCAAATATCCAACATTCTCAAGTCATCCTTTTCCATTTTTTACCCTTAGTCATTACATCATCAATTACCTTCTATTTCCCATTCTCTTTCATCTCATTCCCATTTCATTAATATCCCATTTTCACTTTCATTATAGGTATGAAAAAAGACTCTTTTAAAATCATGCCCTATAACAACACACATGTAAGAGGACCATTCAAACTTTCATTATTTTATAGATTATAACTATACTATATAATAGAATTCATTTCTGCAATATCTTTCCAAAAAATATAAATTCCTGTATTTAATCCAACTTGAAATTCTTATTTGTCCTATCAGAATTATTGGAGATTATATAATTGCGACATGCACCTAATTAAAAAAACATTGTCGGGTTCAAAAAAAGGTCATATCATCAAATCTAAGACCAAAGGGGAGCACGGAAAGACAAAATACCGCAGCCAAACAGCTCTCCAGCGTAAATCTTCGGGGAATGGCTTTGGCATGTCAACCTAAGTCGACTGACTTTGCTCTACTGTGCATTTTTACATGTCTATATGCAAATATAATACACATTTCGGAGTACCCAAAATCCTTTTTGGTCTTGGCTTCAATGATATGACCTTCTCGAACCCGACGTTAGGTGTATACTTATACAGTATAATACATACATGGACCATAAAAAATATATTCTAATAAATAGTAAATATAGCCTCTCGACATCATGCTGTACTCAAGTATTATTTCAGACTAATGTAAATGTTTTTATCGTCTTGGAAGGGTAATATTACCATTTATTATAAAGACTTTAGCGTTTTGCAGGCAAATATGTCAATTGTAATTTTTATACCTACTACATCCGGCACCTCAGTGACATATTTTCCACATTCTCAGTAGTGAAGACATCAATGACGTCTTTTCCAATGTTTTTGACAGGCTTTTGTTTGTGAATATGTCTATATAGTAAAAATAAAATTACACGGTGGCGTTAAGATATTACTTTATCTTGTCATGTTGGAAAATATTTCACCACTCAAAGACAAACTTCATATCTTCACTCCATGTAATATCATCTATTTACAGAATTGTCAGGGAAATTCTATTCAAATTTCAATATACAAATTCATTTGCCTAGTAGTCCTACCTGACTATAGCATATATTATACTAATATWTTTTTTTTTGTATTCACTTCATGAAAAATGTCAGCCTAAAATCACAGCCGAACAACAAAGTTTGCTATCACACACTAACAAACAAAATTTAATAGTTTTTGTTTTATGGGTTAAATGTAAGTAAAATCAAGAAATGTAAGTAGAATCAAATGGATCTAAATTATTGTGAATATTTCGATTCTGAAATGAGTAAACAATCAAAGAAATAGTGCTTGCACCATATAATTCTATGAATTTAAAAATATCTATTAACCCATTAGTCTAGCGACATTTACATCGATGTGATCAGTCGTTAATTTCAGAAGCCATACTGTTTATTTCATTCTGATACGTGTACAATCAAAAGTTGATTGAATGTTAGTTTGTTTCTTATGTACCCCAGAGGATATTCTATGTATGTTAAATAATCATAATATTATGTTAAAAAAAACAATTCACAATAAAATATCATTAACGACTAGGTCTGGATTACAATCTCTTGGCAAAATATTCTGCTTTTTTTAATTGATTTATCTATCTTTTCAGATTCTACTCTTGCTTCTATAGTATTGGTTTAATATCATATGAATTAGCTCTGCCATCTACATGTCTAGGGAAATTTTACCCTCCCCTATCTCAAGACACTCCCTTTAAAACCTTAATGTAGCAACTGGTTTTCTTTTTTGCCAAGAAGAATAAAAACACTCATCTTTCTATTTTTTATGGGAGAAGTTGGTCTAAGTCCAGGAACTATTTCATAGACCAACCACTCTTATGTTTGACTATGGGCCAGCCATTCTGGATTTACAAAAATAATCCTCAAGGACATGTACACAGCAAGGAAACTAAAGCAAGCAAGTGGGCACATTAAAATCATATTTTAATATTCCTTTACGGGCAAAATCACCTTTGGCCAGCATGAATGTTAACATCTACATCACTTACTAATACAATCTATTGTAGTTAGAATCGTGAAATGGCAATCTTCTTGGATCGATTGCAATGAACAGAGGCAAGCCTAATTAGGCCATAGGAAGTTACTTTTATTATAAGATGTAAGTTTTCTTAAGATGCCACAATTGHTAGTCCCTTTTCTCATTCGGTAAATACCACTGTTTTATTACTCAAGACTCCTCTGCACAGGCTTGGCCTCATTTAAGAGCAAAGCATTTTGAAAAGACAACTGCAGCGTAAAGAATGTGCAAGTTGAACAATACCAATGTTTTGAAATCTCGGACTTTGATTGTATCTGTGAATGGTTGAATTATAAATGAGGCTAAGAAAGGAGTCTGTGGTCTTTAAAAACAGAGGTATGCATTGAATGCGAAACTGGTGTGTTGTGTGGATTAGTTATAACTAATGTGATCTCTTGAGATGGTCTTTCAATCTTAGATACCTTGAGAATGCAAGGCAGTTAAAAACATCTAAGGTCTTGCATAGAACATTGTTCACTAGACAGTAGAGACAGTTAGTAGAAGCAACAAGTGTGAATAACCAAGATCAGTTTACCATCTAGCATTCAACACCTTGTACAATACCCTGCCGACTCACAATCGAACTGTGCATGTTCAATCAAACCCTGACAACGAATCTTTGTGCAATTACAACGTCTCTGACCTGCTGTACTTTGGAAAGCGAAAATCACATTCCAGCTTTCTGCTTCTGACATTTTTCTGGATCAGCCTCCCCCTTGGGGGAAGGAATCTCGACCAGATTCATTGACTGTCTTTTTTTTAACCATCTTTATGATTTACTTTTGAAGACTGAAAAAACTTAGTGATGATCATGGAATGGCACAGTCATTATTATACATTAATAAGCTTTTATATCTCAACTTAAATGGGGTGTTTCTCGGCTTTATATCTATATCACATTGTGGAAATGCTGTTAGACGTTTCCAGCATTTTTTTTCTAGTYCAATCTCAATCACTTTGGTTAGGAACTTGGGTGGCAGTCGTTGGACAGCAACTTACAGGCGCAACTTATAGATGCAAATGTTGATAATCGTTTGGGGATCAGAATTGGAATGGTAAGGGAGCTTAATGTTTGACCGAAACTCAACAAAAGACATGATTTTTTTTTACTTATAAAAAACAGTTGATTATTTTCTATTCGATAATCTGTATAGGACTGTACAGGAGACTTTATTGTACAAACTGCTGTCAACTGCCATTATCTGAAATGATAAAGAAGGGTAGATGATTATTACAGAAACCATAGTAGACTGGAAACTGAATGCGAATCATGATACGTGATGATGATACATGATGATGATACATGATGATGATTCATGATGATGATACATGGTGATGATTCATGATGATCGATGATACATGATGATGATACATGATACATGATGATGATACTTGATGATACAAGTCATGATGATAATACATAATGATGATACATGATGGTGATACATGGTGATACATGNTGATACATGATGGTGATACATGGTGATACATGATGTTGATACATGATGATGATACATGATGATGATACATGATATGGTACATGATGATGATACATGATGATGATACATGATGATACATGATGATGATTCATGATGATACATGATAATGATACATGCTGGTGATACATGATGATCCATGATGATGATACATGATACATTCTGATGATGATGATACATTCTGATGATACATTCTGATGATTATGACAATGACAACCTCAACTAAGTTTTTACAATTACCTTTTTGAGTCGTTATTCATGTAGAACTCATTAAAAGAGACCACAGTCCTTCAAATTGTTCTTTATGATCACATCAGTGACGGCATCAAATACAAACTGGATGTTATTTGTATCTGTAGCACATGTGAAGTGTGTGTAGATCTCTTTAGTGTCTTTTCTCTTGTTAAGGTTCTCGAACTGCATCTGGATGTAAGCAGCAGCTTCTTCGTAAGTATTAGACCCTGGAGAAACAGTAAAAAGTAAATTGAAAAAAATTAGTATAGCATAATAAAGGGAATAGAGAGGATTTGAATCCTGGACTCAATCTTACATGGCTAGAGCCAGTTCGGTCTCTAATTTGATTTGAGGGTTTTCTACAGATTCTACCTAAATTCCTATTTGAGCTGTGAGTTAGCCATGCTATAACTTTGATCAGCCAAGATGTTGTTTCAGGGTGTCAATAAGATTAATTTTGCAAGCTTTGAATGTAGATTTGAAAGGTTTCTGCATAGCATCCTTGTGGAGCTTCAATTTGAAAAGAAAGGGAGAGCTGAAGCCCTACTGGCTCCCTATCTAGTGCACTCATAATCCCTACGAGTGAGAGTCAAATGAATGATCTTAAAACAGATTTACCCAAAACAGATTTATAGTTAATAGACCTCTTGCATTGATTTCCTAGAGGAATCGTTCTGGGGTACAAATCATATGCCATCTTTTCTTTTGCAAAAAACATCCATTTTTTTGTACCCCCACAACAATATTCCTCTTGGTACAAGGGTGCAAGGGGTCTATAGCTGTATATACCTGTGTACTCAGGGAAGCAGATCGTTAGTGGAGACTTTATGATCTTCTCTGAGAACAAGTCTTTCTTGTTCAAAAACAATATGATGGAAGTGTCTGTAAACCACTTGTTGTTGCAGATGGAATCGAATAGCTTCATACTTTCCATCATTCGATTCTGTGCAAAACAAAAACAAACAACCAAAAATTGCGATTAACATTTTTAATTTCAGCAAAGAAAAATCTAAATATCCTAAACTTATATACCAGCCAAGAAAACAGACAGTTTTTCAATCAGTTCATGAATAATATATTACCACATAGATTATTAAGTAGTCCAAGAGTTAAAATTGAACATTAATAATTGATTAAGAAACATTTAGAGTGCTTTTTCTAATAGGCCATGTTTGAGATATTAAAACACTAGCACGCTACCAAGACTCTCCTTGAGGAGATCAGTAGATACAGTGCCATAGACTTGATTATAACCTCGATGGATAGTAGCATTTCTATCAAAATTTTCTTATTATTGTACATTGTATATGGTACATTATTTTATTTCAACCAATAAATGTATTTTTTGTACCATACATTAAGTACCATACAGCTAGAAAGGGTAATATAGTCTGAATTTAAAGATATCAAACGTGGCCTATAAGAAAGATTTGACCAAGTGACAAGTGTTATCATACCATTTCTTCATCTTCTGCAAGAACCAAGTCGTATGCACTCAAAGCAACACAGAAGATGATGGCGGTTACTCCTTCAAAACAATGAATCCATTTCTTTCTTTCAGATCTTTGGCCTCCGACGTCAAACATCCTATAGAATAAAATAATCAACATCATCAAGTCCGTCTGAAATGAAATTATYTACTTACATGTACGAGCTCGCTCCGGCCATAGGGGCAACTCTCAAAACGAATAAAGTTTCTAAAGGCCTATTTAACTACATCAAGACATTTCTTAGTTAGTACTGTCTAATTTTGGGTCTTCAAATCTTCAACAAAAGTTTATGTGGCACATCTTTATATCAATGAGATTTCTTGTCATATGTCTAAAGAATTGATTAACTAATTTAATTAATTAATTAAAGAGAAATAGCCACAGCGCTTCAGTCAAGAGCCAAAATGTCTGATGACCAAAGATCCTTGGGCTAAAATAAAATCATTTTTCTGACAAACTTTGCAATAGACCTAACCCGAATTCACTTGACTGACCACAAAACAATGGTTTGAAGTCAAGACTGAACTTGATTCTTTTATTCATCAAGTTCAACCGCGACTTGAAATCATTGATTCGTGATCAGTCAAGCGAATTTGGGATAGGTCTATTGTCTACAAAATGAGAAAGCTCAGAAGACTCAAGTTTTAAGTTTTCTGTTGCTCAAGGTTAGCCTCAAGTTTGCATAAAATATTCTTATTTCAGTGAACATCCATGAAATTAAAGGGGCAATTGGATGAAAATCGCTCCAAAATTAAAACTCTTTCATTCGAGCTGGAACTTTCAATTATCAGAAAGTTATTTCATTAAGTGGTTATTAATGTATTCAAGAATATTTCAGCAAATTTCCAGCTCAAATGAAAGAGTCTTAATGAAATGAATTTCGTCAAAGTGCCCCTTTAAGGTCCATGGAATTTCGAAGTGCTTGAATTTGTGCATTGTTGAGGTTATGCATTCTTTCCTTTACCATTGGTATTTGGGAAATATTCTGATGCTCAATAACCCTAAGTAAATGCGTCTGTAATCAAAGAACACAGCTCTATTGAACTAATTTGTAAATGTAATAAATTATGCTTTCGGTATGTGTGATGAAATAGAGAGAATAAGAGAAAAATATCAAATGCCCTTGGCAGAAATCGAACCCATGTCTTCAGTATTCCGATTCGATGTGTTAACCACTACACTACAAGGACCAACCACGCTGGTAACGCAGCCGGAATATGAAAGGTAGGGTACTCGTGAAAACCCCAGTCTGTGAATGTTATTCCAACAGCATTATGACTGCCTACAGAGTGGAATCGAAGAAACTTATTCCACTTACTTGAAATGAAGGTCTTTAAAGGTAAAATGAGTTTCGACTATGCCTGTAGTCTTTACTCTTGTTCGTAGAACATCTTGTTCCGTTGGTATATAATCAGGTGACCCTAATCGGTCTAGAGCGTTTAAGTAGCTGTTAAAAAAATTAAAAATAAAACTCAGTTACTTTGGTATTGTTTTATGAGGGTGTTGCCTAACAGCCTGAGGAAAACAAATCTGCAGTCCTCCTTGGAATAAATTGTTTGGAAGCTTTGATTTTCACAAAGAGAAGAAAAATAGACGTCCTTAGGAAGAACAAAAAAGACTCAACTTATTGGGATATACCTATTTCAAAAAACTTTGTAATCACCAAAGGAGAAAATGTCATTCCGAGAAGGTAATGGTATCGTCGTCTACAAACAACATTGAAGGTCCATGTTCTTGATGAGAATAAAGAGCAGAAAAACAAGTCATTCCAGCTATTCTTGGATCTTGGAATGACCTATCTCCTGTTGCTTTTCAACTATTACCTAATGCTTTTGACAAGGATAGTTTTAGAATGTAAGAGAATGGCGTAGCAGTACCTAGTGTACATCATAGGATTTTTCTCAAGGTTCTCTAGTTTTCTCCCTCAACAAAACCTAACTAGCTAAATTCTAAAACAGTCTGTAAGTTGGCCGTGCCCCGACTTACATCATCTCAGAGGTTATTACAAGGTATCAATAAAATTTAATGGTTATTTAAATCAAATTGAACTGACAGAATTTTTCAAACAAAAACGATCACACATCTAGATATAGAATCAACATGGCTTTAGTATACTCACTATGATGCCGAGTCATTCAGTTGGTACTCTCTCGACCTTGCGAAGCATGCTTGCACGCCGCTGTCTGACCATAATCTTCTCATTATGGATACAAGTTCTTGGGTGAATTTGACGTCTTCCATACTCCCTGCTAATGCAAACATTTCTCTTGCATCGTCCTGTTCAAAAATGCAATGATGAGTTAAATGACTAGTCATAAATAAACAGGGTAGGGTGAATTGCTTTTGCCGTTTGATCCAAGCCTTGAATGTCAGATATCACTGTTGGCCATTGGTTCAAATTCAGTTACTTCCATTGTTATTTCTGTATTTTCATGTAACTCAGGGACAAGAATAATGGCTGCTCAATGGCTGAACATAAGGACATGCCACATCGGACAGATCGACATGTGACCAACTAATGTAACCAGACAAGACTGGCATCAGAGGCGTTTGCTGGAAATTATTCTTCAACTTGCCATTATTTTGAGCCCTGCATATTTCTTAGGGCTTACACTTTTATAATTTCCCCCTTCCTCTCTAATTTCCTCTTCTTTCTTCTTTTTTCTCATTTCAGATAGTTACTAGATTTTTGCTAATTTTCTCACTCAAAGCAAATTGACAATAATTGAACATTTCGTATGTAGCTCAAAATTCCTTAGTTTCAGGTTCCCAGCTTCACAAAATTAAACCTATTCAAAAAAAAATACTTGTCAAATATACTTACTGTTTTATTGACAAAAAATGATCAAAAACAATCGGAAAATTTATGATTACAAACGAAGAATTGTGCCCCTAGGTTTTCAATAACCTGTTATTTGTCATTCCCTTGAGCATCATTTCTTTGTTTCAAGGTTGTGCATGAAAAGACACAAATGTCAACAAGACTCAAACAAAGATTCTTATTGTCAAGAGAATGGCACATGGTCTGAAAAATGGGAAAACATTTTTCCAGGGCCTAACAAGTCAAATCTTTGCCTTACCGATCATTTTGACCAGTAACAATAGGCCAGAAATAAGGCATCCATGACTAAGCTAAAACAAATTTGTCATTTTAAGCCCTATTCCGCCCAATCTAAAGGCCTACTTTTCTTGGTTAGACAGTACTCAACCTACCGCTCTGTCCGGAGATCCAAAGTCTATCTTCAGTGTTCCCATTGCTCTTATGATGGCAATCATAGACTGTATCGTGTTGCTGTATACAACTTGTTTGTACTGCGCACACTCATCTTTTGAGTAACCTGATTCGTGTATAATTCTAAAAAAAATTAAAAATTAATTAACTTGCACCAACAATTAGATTCAAAATGCACATGCAGCTCTTCAGGTTTTGACACCGAAGGTCTGAGATCTGACTTTGTACTATGCATACCTCTTAAAACTATGGTGATCAACTAGTCTATATCACAGTTGCAGTTTTCACTTTTCCAAAAAATAATCTTAAAAATCAGGAAATAATTAAAAACAATGTCTTTTCTGATGCAAAAAAATGCTGCTTCATACAATGGTTTGGAATCGAAAGAAAAAAAAATCAATTTGATGCACAAAACAGAGTTTTTTAATCAATTTGCATAAATAATTTAAGACAAATAATAAAATTTCACATACTAAACCCACAAAATGAGAAAAAAACTTAACGAGGACTTTCTTAATAAAGAAAAAAATTTTTTTAATTGGAACATAAACAGACATCTCCTCTTATAATTAGACAAACTTTAAGATATAGAACTGTTTGTTCAACTTGATGTTTTAACATCACAAAGAATACCAAGTCCTAAAACTTGGCAAACTCTTATTTGGTATTTTATATCAAAGTAATATCATAACTAGACAATGTATGAGCTAGATTATTTACTAATATTATACACTTACTTCATCTGCTTTACAATAGTACTTTTTCCCGACTCTCCAGCACCTGGAAACAAAAAATGATGAGCATTAAAATAATTCATCGAGAAAACCTCTTCACATCTTGTGTTATTAATAACAAGTGTGTAGCCTCCTTTGTTTTAGTGCATATGGTATTATTACAAACTATAATCTTTTTGAAAGTTTACTGTTTTATTATTACAACAAACCTTCAGATTTTATCGATACCCACAGCATCCTTTTTTTATCTTTAATATTTCTTGAAAGAAAAGGTTTTTGATTGATTGCAAAAGTTTAGTCTTTTCATACTAACATTTTAGCAAAACTACTCATTTTGCATTGATGATTTAATGACGCAAATTATAGTTACCCCAAGCAAACATAATCAAGCTTGCTTTAACAAAAACTAAATTAAGATGAAGCCCAAGAGAAATTAAAACGTTTCTTGTTAAAGCCAATTTATGTGATTAAAAATTCAAATCTAATTAAATGAAAACTGAGTTCATACAATATTGAACAAAAAAGAAGAACTGAATGAATTACAATTATGGGTCAATTTATCGAAAACCTATAATTTAGCATTTAAAATATATTCAAAAAAATAAAGAATTATGCAGTACAGATTTTTTAAGGTTCTACTAGAAAAATAAGGAACTTCCCAGCTGAAATTGTTCTAATTATCAGGGCTAATATAATCTGTACAATAATCACATGTTAATGACCCTTCTTTCGACGCCTTCTGTCACATAATCTCAGGTGACTAATATAGAAATGACAATACAAGATCACATATCTTTGAATATCAAGTTTCAATACTTCAGGATATTGAGTCATATTGTGCACAAACTCAGCCAAAAGCTAAAAATCTTCTGAGATTTGAAGTTTCTGTAATTGCAGCTCAAATATCTTAGCAGGTTTTAAGATGATATGAATGGTTAAAATTTCAGGAGTTTGAAAACTTGAAATATACAGATTCCTTGCCTGGGAAATATCGAGGAATAGGAAACCCTTAATTTGATTAAAAGCTACAAATCTTCCTCACAGTATGTGAAACTATAATGACAAGAATATGACAATCTTTTCCTGTACATGACTAGTTTTTTGCTAATAAAACTATTTTTCTCGTTTTACATTACACCATCAGACAGCTGTGATGTTTATTTGTCAGTAAAGTTTTAAGTCAGGCAATAGTTAAATAAAAAAAGCTACAATCTAGTACTGTCCATTTAACCCCCTGTTGCGCAGCAGTATATGTTCCATAGGTCATATAATTACGTGATGAAATATCAAAATCCTCCAGTGATTGGATTGCAACAATTTAAATAAACAGCATATTGTACGACCGGGATCTAGTTTATTCAATAACCTAATTACAAAGCGCATTTAAAAATACCATATATGTAGATATCGAAGTATGTTGTTCTTTTGTTTAAATAAACTACTTAATCCACATCTTTTATTCTAATTCCAAAGGGAAACTTAGTCAGATATATTCATGAACTGAAATTTATTTCCAACGGCTTTTCAATAGACTTCACAACACAGAAGGAAAGTTATCATTATTGGATCTTTTATCACTGTAAGGTCTGCATATAATTTATATGACCTAACCTTGGAATGATTGCTTAAAGGTGGCGTATATAAAATATAAAAACACAAATACAAACAAGGCTTTCAGCACGTTCGGAAACGGTCTGATGCATGGACACACTGATGTAGCAGCATATTTTTATGGCTGTTTGGTCATCTCATCTTCCTTATTTTAAATTTTCTACTCCATCGATCATTCATACGACAAAGAAAATGTCTTTCACAGATAAAATAAACTGAATCGTTAATTCACAAAGAGGTTGAAAACATATAATACTAAGTAAACATCATCTTTCAGTGACCTTGTCATTGAAGGTCTTAAGCAATACATATTTAAATTCAAGAAATTAATGTCTAGTTATGATACCGGGTCGGCTATTTTAAGGGGGAAAATAGGCGAGTAAGACTTTATGATCAGTGGGGTTAAGATCAAAAAAGATGATTACTCAAGAAACTAAAAGATAGGATCTAAATGTTGCCTTTCAAAAGTAGAGAACAAAAAGAAGTAATCTATAATAACATAGAATGCTGCTAGGTCTGTTCATATCTTAGAGTTTCAAGCCTTTAAARTGAGACTAGGTTCTCTGTTTTGATTGTTTTGGTATACTTGTGAAAGAAAGATTTTCAATCGCTAAAGTAAGGGATAAATATTATACAAAAGACCAAGGAGCCAGGCAAAACGAAAGAAAAATTTCAAAACGGACGGTAATCATCGTATTATTGTATAAAACATCGCTGTAGCTGAGTTCGATTATTTATTAACAAGGAGGAAGTGCTGTCTTTCTTGTCTTCAATCTGCCCGAACAAATTCCGAAAGCGAAATTTTAAACAAATCGATGAAGAAAAAACTCGACATCAAAGAAAAGGGTTTCGAACGTGAGTGTTTCAGAATCCAAAACAAAGGAACGATCATTCGAAAACACGTAATTTTTCTATCATTTTGACAGCTAAAACGAATAACTAGAGGAAAGATAGCACCACGAAGCTACCCCCACTACCAAATAAAAAATTTAAGGTTTCTTTTACACGAGAAAAGAGGAAAATCGGATGTGGTCTTGAGAGATTTTGAATTTTAGTTTTGTCAAGACAACCGCATTTGAGTATCAAACTCCATATTTTGTCTTGGCTTTTATGAACTAGAATCTATAGCCTTATCACTTCATGAACCACTAAACTCTGTATCACTTTGTAGACAGTCTTATCTTGTTATTTGCGGTAAGAGAATACCAGGATAAAATTAGTGCGAAGACAAGAAGTATAACCAAATTATTTTGTCTTGCAACGTGGTCTCCTGACCGACAGAGAGATCGATCTTCTAAACCTCCCTCGTAACGATCACCTTTTATCTATACGCAATACTAAGAGAAACGTTATTTTCTTGGCCCGAACGAGTAGAATTAAAGACAAAAAACCTCCCCGAGAGGGAAAAAGGCCATCATTAGTTATAAACAGATTGGATGTTGCTAGGGTAGAATTTGTCGTTCCTCAGCACACCTGGCCCCATCAAAAAAGACATGCACTAAAAACCCTCTTGCTCATAATTCTGCTTTTCGTTGACGGGTAATTTTGCAAATTGAAGGAAAAGCTAGATTATTCCTTCTGTTCTGGACCTGAGAATTACCTGAGCGATCGGTCAAAGCGCTGTCTTTTTAGATGTTGGGAAACCCGACTGAATCTTCGAAAAACAAACAGCTTTTCCGCAGTCGAAGTCCACTCGCCTGCTCAAAGTCGTTAGATTTTCTCTCGCTTCGAAAGCTAGAGATCTTTTATCCCTCAGAAGACTTACCCAATAAAAGCAGCTTCACTTCCCGAGCAGCTCTTTCCCCATCGGCTCGGAGATTCTTGTCGATCATTTTACTTCTTTCGACAGCCGCCTTATCCTCAGCACTGAGCGTACAACCCATGTTTGATAAAGATTCTTCGACACGGTCCTTCACTTGACTTTCACAACCGAAAAATCCACAGTCGTTAAACCAGAATTGAGTCGATGATGGGCGACGATCCAAGCTAAATCTCTGTAGAAAACGCTAGTGTCGTCCAAATTGAGTAATCGTGGATCATGAGGCCGCCATGGGTATTTTTTCCTGGTCGAGTGTTTTAGCTGTCGGTTCTTTATGGCGTTTATTGGTAGGAACAGTGAATCTGTAATAACCACGCCCGCACACTAAACTATCTGATGCACTCTGGGTACCACAACAACATGAAGACCCGGATGGTAGATGAGCCGGTACAGCGGTTATAGCCGTGGATAAATATCCAGTATACACTGTAAGTATCACGCGATGTCGTGGAATAAGAAAATATTGAAAAGATTTAGTCAGCACGACATCTCGGAAATGGGCTATTTTGAGCATTTTTTATGGAAAGCCTCAATGGTGCTAGAATTTTAAGATCTCGAACGTGACCTGTTTTATAAGGTTTTTTTTGAGGCGTTTCATAATGAGGTAATGTGGGGGGGGGGGTAGGGAGGCCGAGGGGWGGGTGCCARKGGGGGGGGGGGAGTGTTACCCAATATTGTCAGTAAACTATTAATTTTTTGATGCAAAGATGAGAATATGTAGAATTATTAATTTTTTGTCTAAATGTTAGTTAAGAAAAAAATACATGTACATATATATATATATATAGGAATGAGTACTATAGAGTACAAACACTAAATGCGTGCAATAGTTATCACTATTTAGCAGTAAATAGCACTAATTAAACAAAAGAATACAATAGAATTAGCATAAAATAACACTATTTAGTGATATTCATGTTGCACACTTTTAGTGTTTGTACTCTATTAGTAACATGAATACACGTATGTTAGATGAGCAGCGATAGTAAAGTGGTAACTCCCCAAAATTTATGAAATACACTGGGAATATGAACTGTATTATGCATATATGCATATATTTATTCATTGGCAAACGAAATATAATATGACAAAAATATATAATTGTAATACAAAATTTGTGAATGAATGAACTTTATTTATCCACGGTTAACGACTCAGTTAACCTGCTTTTCAGGCGTGCCGTGTGTATTCACGAACCATCGTCAGGTAATCGCATTTACTTAGAAAATACGAGTGTCAAGTGGGATCGATATTCCATGTTGTGCATGCATGTCACGAGAAAGAAAGCATTGTATCAATATTTTTTTAATGGAAACACCCGGATTTTTTGTGAGCCGCCTCGCAAGTACGTGACACCGTGGCAGCGGTAATACACATGTTTATCCGGATGCGCGCGCATTTATTCTAAACTTGATGATTTTTTATGGCAAATCTCCAAAAAAACGAAGAGAAAGAGAGCGTCCCAACACGATATCGGAAAAACAGCGTCTCGATTATCTTAAAAACAAATTACATGAATAGCTCTCCAAGATACTATTTATAATGATATTTCTTGGCATAGACGTGGCTTGTCATATTTGGCGCTATCCATCACTGCGTATTTGCATATGAAATAATAAATGTAGACTTTTCCAAATCGTATTTACGCGCTCTGAATAAAGCACAGGCAGCCCAATCAGGATCACAAGCGACTTCGAAGCTCACTTTTTTCACTTGCTTTGTTTGTGAGTCTTAGAGAGGTCGGCTTAGACCAAGTCTATAGTGCCGACTATGACGCAAAGCTAGTACTTTGGGATTCAATTGAGTCATCAGAGCGAATGGAGGATGATAAGGCCGACATGGACCATGCGTATTCAGAAACATTGAGGTGTCAACTAAGAAAAGAGAGAATCCGATCTGCAAGCAGCTGCTGTAGTTTCCGCTACTTCAAATCTTCTACGAATTCCAAAGTGTTTATATCATATTGTATTTATAGAGAAAGGACATTTTTATGGCTTCTTAAAGATGAATGCAATATATAACCTTCTATCAACCTTTAGCTTTTTTTCTCCTTCAAATACCAAACTCTACTTCATTCGTGCCACAGTCGTTCGCTTCTACCCTTCCCTACCCCCCAAGGGACCTTGCTTTTGGGGGAAGGGGAAGCGCGAGAAAATGAGAAATCATTTATAAAACAAAATCGTTATATTGAATAATTTTATAAGCTTTGAATTAACAAATAGTTACTGATAAAATAGAACAGAAGTAAGCTTATTTTCGCCTAAAAACGTCCACGCAAAACTTCAATCAAAGCTATTTCAAAACGAAGCTTTACGAAGGCAACTGGGTTACCTACTTCATTTTGCGGTAATCTGGTCCGCAAGGTGTAACTGGGTATACTCTTGTGAAGGAAATTGTTTTCGAGATTTTTACTACGAGGATATTGAGTATTTTCCTTGGCGTTCCAGAATCGGTTTCCATTCGATAACTGTACCAGATGTCTCATTTCGTGACACAAACTTTTTCTTTAAGATTTTTTACGACTCTGATAAGTTGGGGGAAATTACAAAAACACTTGAGTTTGATGATGTCATTCAGTTTCTCTGAATAGACCTCTTTACCTTGAGCGTAATGTTTTCCCATTTCATACCACGTGTCATTCTATAGAGTATCATTTTTTTGTTTTAACGGCTAATTGCACATGAGAAAATCTCTCAACAAAATGACACGTGGTCTGAAATGAGAAAGCTTTACACCCAAACCGAGGTCTCTCGTGCTGTCTTCGTGATAGGGTTTCCGACTGAGGTTAGCAGAATTACGAGAAGCAAGAAAATTGAACTATCGGCACAAAAACTCCCAACTCGCTTGACAATAAGCTGTGTATTATAAGTATAATGAGTCATCTTGAGTGGTTGAAATTATAATATAATATAATAATATGATTTATATAGCGCCTATACAAGTCGGCTCTAAGCGCTGTGATGAAGTTTTAATTGAGTTCCGCTTGATATACATTTCTATGTTTTGACTGATTGATCAACGTATGGAGATTTTAACTAGTTATTTGCGCTCTCCACTGACGCAATTTATGGGAATATAATAAGTGGTCGCTCGACCAATCACAGCGCTCGAAACTCTGTAAGTCAATTATAAAATTATACTAAATTATTGATTTAATTAGTTGAAATTGTGCGAGCCGCTAAGCCGGAGTATGAAACTCTGATATTTTTCATTAGTTCATACAAAAAAAAGCCAAAATATTTTATAGTAGAAGATAATATAGGTAAATTGTAGTGCTTGGGAACGAGGTTATTCCGGGCGAAAGCCCTTGGAATTAAATTCGGAAAAATTAATTTCCGAATTTAATTCCAAGGGCTTTCGCCCGGAATAACCTCGTTCCCAAGCACTACAACTTACCTATATTATCTTCTACTATTTCATTAGTGCCACGCGGTCCACATACTCTCAAAATATTTTATACTTTAGCCGAGGAAAGAAGTCTTTAGGAAGAGACTCCAGTGACGTTCATTATTGATTACCTTTCTTAAAGATATTACTTAAAATATGCTTTTTTATATCGAAAATCTTTAACTGGAAGATCAACTCTAATCACCTTTATTTATTGTTGTGCRAGGAAGCCATTTTGCAACTGCAGAATGCAGTGAAAAGTTATGAGCTTTTTTCTCATAGTTAAAAATTCATTGGTCAAAAGAATAATTACGAAGGAAGTAAGTTCGAAATCGCGAGTTTTACTGATTTTGCTATGCTCTTTCCAGCTATAAACTAATAATTGCTAATTTTCCACTACTTTTTTTCAAAAGGCTACTGACACAGCTGCAATAAAACGCCACTATTCAGGATGTTAGCTATAAAATCTTCACTTTGTTTTGAGGGTTTAGTTTTCTCTACCGTTAAAATGTTTTATTTATTCAACTCTCCCACAAGAAGGTCTCGCCCCCAAGTCATAAACGGCCTCTGGCACCCAGGGTAAAGGAGTTATGGAAGTTACGTAATACACCTAATTCAAAAAACGTCGTCATCGCCAAAGGCGATAGGCAATAGGCGATAGGCGAAAAGCGATAGGATATATAATACCAAGATCCAAGAATAGCTGGAATGATTTATGTTTCTTCTTCTTCTTCTTGTCAAGAGTATGGACCTTCGTCTTGAGACTGATTAGATGTTCTTTGTATTCAAAGAAAGCCATTTCCATGTAGGAATGACCTATCGCCTATCACCTTTGGCGGTGTCAACGTTTTTTGAATTAGGTGTATACAAAATGAAGTTACGTAATCTGAAAATCTCATTATTAATTTTACTTTAAAAAAGGGATAAAACTAGAAGATGCTTGATACACCTGAATGAAAAATATTCTGATTCCTACGCTGAGATTTTAGAATCTATTGAGTTTTGTCGTAGCTACGAGAATAAGCGAAGAATCTGCTAAAGCCACTTTACAAAGGCAAGGGCAAACACCTTATTTAAACGCACTTTTCGTATGGCTATATATATTTCAATATATTCATAGAGAGAATCAGTACAGATAATAAACTCGGTTTATATCCGGTAAGAGAGGAAGACAAAACATGAAATTTAAGAACTGAACAGAGAAGCATTGTCTTAAATAGGGCTTGACTTTAATAGAGTGAAATAGTATGAACAAAATGGCTTCACAGAATTATAGATCAAACAAATGTCGAATTTCTTGTCATTTTGATAGACAAACCAAGACAAGTAAACGATGGTATGCCTAATGTATTTATTTAGCCTTGAATTGAGACAAGCAAGAACATAAAAGGATAGGTAAACAAACGCGACTCAACTTAGAAAATTAGTTAATAGGATTTCATGAAATGTTGGTCTTAACCCACCGAACGTGAAAGCCACTCTCACTCTTAATACGATTCATCGGGTTTTTTTCAGGATGAGTTTATTTATAGGTGAATATGAGTAAGGTGATCTTGGTAGCTATCTAGGACAGGTGGTGACTTGTTTGTGAGTGAAGATTGAAGAATAGAGGCAGGCTATTTATATCCGATGCGATTGTGTTTTTTCATGTGCTCGGGACATTTGCGGTAGAGATAGTGATCGGAAATTAAAAGCGCTTCGATTAACTGTAGCAAAAAGGCTTGGAGGTCAATGAACTACATAGAAAACCCTTGAAAATAGACCAACATGAAATGGCACATACTTAGCTGTTTGGTCGTACCAAAAAATTGAAATACTTGAAAAAGAAAAATTCATACCAATAAATTATGGAGTGAATGTTCATCAGTGACTCAATTATTTCTCAAACGAAAGGAAAAGAAAGGAAGAAAGAAATATGGAAAAGAAGTATTACTTAATGAATGAAAACGTGGTCAAACGGATTCATTTTCGTTGATATTTATTTTCTAAACATAGGACAATAAGAATTTATCATCAGAAAAGCCTGTCAATTGTTTTGTTAATGCAATTTTTTTGGTCAATGAAAGAACACAAACACACACTCAATAAAGATTGATTTAAAAAAACAGAGTGTTTATCGAAGATTAGTCTAATTTGAAGACAAGAAAAGTTTGTAGCTCTTGTCTGCGTTGATTCATCTGGGAAAATAAACTGAGAAAGTTCTGAGGAGGTACATAGTTGTCAAACGTAAATATAATTTTTAATCGGCCTTGTTTATCGTGGAACCACAAATCAATAGCGTGGGTTTTTGAGACACCAAAATAGCTGACCAACTCGATGAACTCACTTTTTTTTTGTGATTGATTGGAAGTGGTTGAAAAGATAGTAGCACTTTGTGGTAGCAGTCGTATATGGGAAAAAAATAACTGAGCATCATCCAACATGGCTGCCACTTTTATTCCCTTATGAATGATTACAAACCACCTATAGTGAACATCATCCAACATGGCTGCCAATTTTTATTCCCTTAGGAATGATTACAAACCACCTATAGTGAACATCATCCAACATGGCTGCCACTTTTATTCCCTTAGGAATGATTACAAACCACCTATAGTGAACATCATCCAACATGGCTGCCACATTTATTCTCTTAGGAATGATTACAAACCACCTATAGTGAANTAGGAATGATTACAAACCACCTATAGTGAACATCATCCAACATGGCTGCCACATTTATTCTCTTAGGAATGATTACAAACCACCTATAGTGAACAATATCCAACATGGCTGCCACTTTTATTCCCTTAGTAGTGATTATGACCCACTTAAATATTGAACATCGTCCAACATGGCTGCCATTTTTACTTCTAAAAATGGAATGAAGCTAAACTACGACTAACGGAATGAATTTTTGAAAACTAAACGTGACTAAATTGTTCAAAGCACTGAACTGATACTCGGAGGAAATCAGCTTGAGACGTGCCCTCTAGGCATGGGAAGATGACAGCTGAAGAAATTTGGTGCCATGACAGGATTTTTCACTAGGACTTTTGGAATGCGTTTTCTGAGAGCCTTGACCACAATCTTAAAAGATGGTTTCTTCTTTAGGTACTTAATATATGCCTGTAAGCAAAGCCACTCTACCTCGTTTTTACTGACTCCAAAGACGTGTCGTCTCGATGGTTTCTTTAGTTCTTTCAGCGACAGCTTTTTAAACTTCAGCTCGGCTTGAGCACAAAAGAACAGAGGTAAYGCGAGGATCACTCGCATGCAAAGCGAAGGGTTCTCTTCAATTTTTCGACCTAAAAAAGTATTCAAAATATGGAGAAATAGATTGAGATTTCGTACCAAACTTAGCCATCGGGGTATAGATTCAGGTTCATAGATTTAAACAAAGGATTTTCCCCAGCTTTTTTCTATTTCCTTCTATTTCCTTCTGTTAACTTGGACCGGAAAGGGATAGTCAGCATGGCCAATGCAGTAATGGCTATTGTTTTATAGTCGTGTGAAATGTAACGACTGAAAAGCAAATAAGCTTGTCCCCGACTGCATGATAGTATGATAGTACGACAACTGAACCGCAAGTCTAATGATTTTGAGATGAGTTCTTAGGCGGGTGGGTGGTCGTAGTTAACTTAAAACCTATCAGTCGCGCACGTATTTCCTTTTTTTCCTTTCTTTCTTCCTTTCTTTCTTCATTCGTTCGCTTGTTCCTTCACTCCCATTCATATATATATATATATATTTTTGGCGTCCATTCAAGTTTCTGTTCATTCTTTCATTCGTTTATCCATTCTTTGCATTCTTTTACTGGTTCGTTTGTTGCTCGTCCACCCACCCACCCATTCATTTATTCATTCGTCCATCGCTTCAATTCAACCAACAGGGCAGCTACTAAACAATAAACTTGTCCCTCCCCAGCCTATCCCGTACACAGGAACCCCAGTCGTTAGGAACTCACCCTTAGGGAAGCCACGACAATAGTTGTAAAACTTGCATGCAGACCAAAAGAATGCCTCGAAAATGTTGGACCAGACGGTGGAGCGGCTGTTAATTTCAGTGTCCAGGAGAAGAGGATGGCTCTTGTTTAAAAGACTATACCTGAATAAATCAAACAGACGCTTGACCCATAAAGAAAGAAAGAAAGAAAGAAAGAAAGAAAGAAAGAAAGAAAGAAAGAAAGAAAGAAA